TTTCTTTTCAGCCTAACAGTATTTATTGTTTTTGCACCACACCCAGTGCTCCATGCTATATGTGCCCTCCCTAATATGCACCACCTTGTTCCCCCAACCTCCCACTCTCCGCCCCTTCAAGACCCTCAGGTTGCTTTTCAGAGTCCATAGTCTCTCATGGTTCACCTCCCCTTCCAATTTCCCTCAACTCCCTTCTCCTCTCCATCTCCCCATGTCCTCCATGTTATTTGTTATGCTCCACAAATAAGTGAAACCATATGATAATTGACTCTCTCTGCTTGACTTATTTCACTCAGCATAATCTCTTCCAGTCCCGTCCATGTTGATACAAAAGTTGGGTATTCATCCTTTCAGATAGAGGCATAATACTCCATAGTGTATATGGACCACATCTTCCTTATCCATTCATCTGTTGAAGAGCATCTTGGTTCTTTCCACAGTTTGGCGACCGTGGCCATTGCTGCTTTAAACATTGGGGTACAGATCACCCTTCTTTTCACTACATCTGTATCTTTGGGGTAAACACCCAGTAGTGCAATTGCAGGGTCATAGGGAAGTTCTATTTTTAATTTCTTGAGGAATCTCCACACTGTTCTCCAAAGTGGCTGCACCAACTTGCATTCCCACCAACAGTGTAAGAGGGTTCCCCTTTCTCCACATCCTCTCCAACACATGTTATTTCCTGTATTTCTAATTTTGGCCATTCTAACTGGTGTAAGGTGGTATCTCAATATGGTTTTAATTTGAATCTCCCTGATGGCTAGTGATGAACATTTTTTCATGTGTCTGATAGCCATTTGTATGTCTTCATTGGAGAAGTGTCTGTTCATATCTTCTGCCCATTTTTTTTATATGATTATCTGTTTTGTGTGTATTGAGTTTGAGGAGTTCTTTATAGATGCTTGATATCAACCTTTTGTCTGTACTGTTATTTGCAAATATCTTCTCCCATTCCACGGGTTGCCTCTTTGTTTTGTTGACTGTTTCCTTTGCTGAGCCGAAGCTTTTGATCTTGATGAAGTCCCAAAAGTTCATTTTTGCTTTTGTTTCCTTTGTCTTTGGAGACATATCTTGAAAGAAGTTGCTGTGGCTGATATTGAAGAGGTTACTGCCTATGTTCTCTTCTAGGATTCTGATGGATTCCTGTCTCATGTTGAGGTCTTTTATCCATTTCAAGTTTATCTTTGTGTACAGTGTAAGAGAATGGTCGAATTTCATTCTTCTACATATAGCTGTCGGGTTTTCCCAGCACCATTTATTGAAGAGACTGTCTTTTCTCCACTGTTTATTTTTTCCTGTTTTGTCGAAGATTATTTGACCATAGAGTTGAGGGTCCATATCTGGGCTCTCTGCTCTGTTCCACTGGTCTATGTGTCTGTTTTTATGCCAGTACCATGCTGTCTTGGTGATCACAGCTTTGTAGTAAAGCTTGAAATCAGGTAATGTGATGCCACCAGATTTATCTTTGTTTTTCAACATTTCCTTAGTGATTCAGGGTCTCTTCTGATTCCATATAAATTTTAGGATTATTTGCTCCAGCTCTTTGAAAAATACCGGTGGAATTTTGATCAGAATGGCATTAAAAGTATAGATTGCTCTAGGCAGTATAGACATTTTAACAATGTTTATTCTTCCGATCCAAGAGCATGGAATGGTCTTCCATCTTTTTGTGTCTTCTTCAATTTCTTTCATGAGTGTTCTGTAGTTCCTTGAGTACAGATCCTTTACCTCTTTGGTTAGGTTTATTTCCAGGTATCTTATGGTTCTTGGTGCTATAGTAAATGGAATCGATTCTCTAATTTCCCTTTCTATTTTCATTGTTAGAAAGCCACTGATTTCTGTACATTGACTTTGTATCCTGCCACGTTACTGAATTGCTGTATGAGTTCTAGTAGTTTGGGGGTGGAGTCTTTTGGGTTTTCCGTATAAAGAATCATGTCATCTGTGACAAGAGAGAGTTTGACTGCTTCATTGCCAATTTGGATACCTTTTATTTCTCTTTGTTGTCTGATTGTTGTTGCTAGGACTTCTAATACTATGTTGAACAAGAGTGGTGGGAGTGGGCATCCTTGTCGTGTTCCTGATCTCAACGGGAAGGCTGTGAGCTTTTTCCCATTGAGGATGATATTTGCTGTGGATCTTTCATAGATAGATTTTATGAAGTTCAGGAATGTTCCCTCTATCCCTATACTTTGAAGTGTTTTAATCAGGAACGGATGTTGGATTTTGTCAAATGCTTTTTCTGCATCAATTGAGAGGACCATGTGGTTCTTCTCTCTTCTCTTTTTGATTTGTTCTATCACATTGATTTGCGAATGTTGAACCATCCTAGTATCCTAGGGATAAATCATACCTGGTCATGGTGTATAATCTTTTTAATGTACTCTTGGATCCTGTTTGCTAGGATCTTGTTGAGAATCTTAGCATCCATATTCATCAGTGATATTGGTCTGAAATTCTCCTTTTTGGTAGGGTCTTTGCCTGGTTTGGGGATCAGGGTAATGCTGGCTTCATAAAAAGAGTCTGGAAGTTTTCCTTCTGCTTCAATTTTTTGAAACAGCTTCAGGATAATAGATGTTATTTCTCTCTGAAAGTTTGTTAGAATTCCCCAGGGAATCCGTCAGGTCCTGGGCTCTTGTTTTTTGGGAGGTTTTTGATCACTGCTTCAATCTCGTTACTAGATATCGGTCTACTCAGGTTGTCAATTTCTTCCTGGTTCAATTTTGGGAGTTTATAAGTTTAAGGAAGAATTTTAATTACTTCCTTTTTAAAAGATCAGAAAAGTGAAGCTTAGAGGTTGCATGAATTCTCAAGTCACAAACGTAGTAAGTGACAAAGCTGGGAATCAAAACAAAGTCTTCTGGTCCCTACCCCATGATCTATAATAGCAGATAAGACAATTGACTTAGTTGGATGTTGATTTCCTCGTGGGTAACTCAGTGAAGGGTAGACTAAGTGGTTTATATGACATAATCTGCCTTTTTAATAGTCTATGGTTGTAAGTATCTTGCTGGCTTTTGTCTCTCATCCAAGTACTAACCAGACCCGACCCTGCTTAGCTTCTGAGATCAGACGAGATTGGGCACGTTCAGGGTGGTATGGCTGTAGACCCTTTCTGGCTTTTGTAAGTTGAACCACTATTGCTAAACTGTCTGGGAATTTCCTGATTGCATTCACTCATCACCCACATTACTGTTACCTTGCTTCACGTCTAGCCTACAAAATTTTGACAATTATCTGGAAACCACATCAGGGAAGTCACAAACATTTGTGCAATGGCATTCTTTTATAGTTCCTCTGTATTTCTTGTAGTGTCAAACAGTGATAGGCCCATCTTAGAATCTCATAAGACTATTTATTTATATAAAATGAATTGAGTGGAATGATTTAAAATTATAAAAAGAAGTCTAATACAGGTGTACCTGGGTGGCTCAGTCAGGTAAGTGTCTCACTCTTGATTTCGGCTCAGGTCATGATCTCAGGGTTAGAAGATGGAGGCCTGAGTCAGGCTCCTCACTCAGCAGCAAGTCTGCTTAAGATTCTCTCTCTCAAAAATGAATACAACTTTTTTTTTTAAGTTTTTTTTTTCTTTGTAAAAGATTTTATTTATTTATTTCAGAGAGAGTTAAATAAATGAGCTGGGGGAGGAGCACAGGGAGTGAGAGAAGCAGACTCCCCGCTGAGCAGGAAGCTGATGCAGGACTTGATCCTGGGACTCTGGGATCATGACCTGAGCCAAAGGCAGATGCTTAACTGACTGAGCTACTCAGGTGCCCCAAATAAATAAATCTAAAAAAAAAAAAAGAGGTCTAGTAGGCATATATAGTTATAATTCCATAGATTTTTTTTTCTTTTTTTCTTTTTGAAAGGCAGACTTTTTGAAATGCAGCCCCTCATTTGGATGTGTCTGGAGTCTTGGAAACTTGACTACCCTACATTCTCCTACAGATGATGCTGAGAGTTTGTTTGGTGGTTGTACCATGGGAATGTAGCTACTCATATACCTTGACTGAAGAATGTTCCTTCTCTATGGAGTAAGTCATCTTTTTCCACCTAGTGTGCCACTTTGGGAGGGATGCACATGGAGTGGTGAGGGAGGAAGGGGACACATGCTTAGCCAACCAGATCAGCTGAGTCAACCCTCTAAAGGTTGTGTGCTGGTTGATAGAGTGGAAGATATAGTAGAAATAGGAAGATAGGAAGTTAAAAAATAATCTCAATAAAGTATATTGAGTTACTATCAGGGCTCCCACTGCAGGGAAAGAAGGTAAAAAATAAGATGCAATAGATTACACTGATAAATACACACACACACACACACACACACACACACACACTGTTGTATTGCAAGAAGTCACTGAACTATCTTGATGAATTTTAAAATGGCTGGTTTAATTAATATCAGCAATCTAGATAATCCAGAAAACCCTTGATATTTAATAATGTTATTTTGAACCTGTCTTATGAAACACAAGTGATCACACTTAATTTAGTGTAACTTAATTTAAAGACAATGAGTTATCTGGAAAATTGGCTCAAATTTTCATTTCATTTGCATGTTTATATACTCTCAGGGTACATTATAAATGTCACTTTTGGAGGGAGTATATATGTGAGTTTGTCTGTGAGTGAGAAGGCAGGAGGCGGGAAGAAGAAAAACAGGAGAGCTTTTATCTGGGTATATTGGACTTGTCTTCTAGGTTTTAGCAGTTTTTTTCCTCCTATTGTGTATTTGACCAAATAGTTACTGCCTTTAACTAAGTTCATAAATCTTTCTTTCCATCTACATTGAGGTAGAATTAATAATTTTTCTGTATCTGGCAGAGGAATGAAGAGAAATTAAACATTTTTGTTTTTTTAAATGAGGGTGATAAATATGCTTGTTCTGAAACATTGTGGGAAATCTCCAGGGAGTGAATAGGTCGCCAGCCGCTTGAGGTGATGTGTTCTGTGTAAAGACTTGGTGTGTTCTTACATGAGGTGATGAAATCATTACTCACAGGCTGGGCTGAGCAGTGTTTCAGCCACTCCAAGTAAAACATACTGAAGAGCCAGGTGGAAACAGGGCATGGAAGAAACGGTGACGACTTTGCCTGAAAGAGGCTGCTCCACTGGAGGGAAGTGTTTTCTGTGTATTTCAAAGAAACCAGCTACCATCACAGACAATGCAGCAGAAAGATTTCCAGCGACTTAAGGAAAACGATGCAGAGAAAAAAAGAAAGAAAAAAGAGCCCCAAATCAGTGTAATAGTCCATGGCATTTTTACACATTGACACTCAGAGATGTTTGCTCAATATTTTTTGCCCTGAGACTACCCAAATGCCAGCTAACTGTGTTATCTGACTATGTTGCTTTGACTCTGGTCTCTAAGAAACAACTGCACGGACTCCCTATTTCCCGATTTACTGCTTAGAGGGCTTCTGGAAAGTTAGTTAACCTCATGATCACTTTCCTCAGCTCTTAAGATGGGGTTAATAATGCTTACCTTTGTAGGGTGACTCTGAGATTTAAATAAGATACTGTACTGGTATTATTATAACAGCTCCTGAAAGCAATAGGGAGCAATTATTGAAGATAAAGCCATAGTTTTGAATTTTTGTCCTCATATAAATTATTTTTGATAACTTTTTAAGATTTATAGGAGTCAAAAATAGTTTGGGGGAAATTTAAAATAGAGTGATCTCTTCACAAGGTTTTAATCATTTAAAAATGGTTTGAAATAATCCGCATTATCAGTCCTCAGTTTTCGGACATTTCTCTGATCTTTGTAGAGCATTAAGGACTAGAAACTTTTGTTTAGAAAAAAAATAGTAAAGGTGAATTAGCTAGATAAAGAGTATAAATGGAAGCAATTATTCAAAAAGTCATCTTGCTCTTCTTTCCCTTTTATTCTTGAGGAATTATCTAGAAAATTTTGGTTGAAAATGAGTAGGGATTTTGCCATGATTTTGTTATAGTTTATATCCACTGCAACCAATCCATTTCCCAATTTTTCATTCATATTACTGGACTTAATCCCATTGTTAGAGCAGAAGCAAACTTGAGCTAGATGGAATTTACTTGAAATTTAGAGATAGTCACATTTTGCTAACTTGCATAAAATTTCAGATAAGGCAAAGCTTTCAATTCAAAAAAATCAATCTAATGTTTAAATAGCTTAGTGTTTGTTTTGGTTGATAGAGAAACTGGTAGGTAAATTTTTTGATTATATCTCAGTATTTAAATGTATCTGTAAGGTCTGCTCTTTACTGAGTCTGTAAGAAATAGAAGGTGTAAAAAAAGGGAGGAAATCTGAATAACAGAAAATTTGAGGAATTTTTAATTTATTTTTATTTGAAATTTGGTTCCAGGAAGGCTCATTTATTAGTGGAGTTGAGATTTTGGTTCTTTGAACAGCTTATATAAAAAATTTGAGTTTCAATATTATCTACTTTTAAGATCACATTCATCACATAATTGCATTGATTTAGATTACTTGGCACATTATAGACTCATCAGAAAAAGAGCTAATATGTCAATTCAATTTAGTATTTACTCTCTTCCTGTTCCATGCAAGGCAGTATGTTAGGCACAGTTGGAGATATAAGATTAAAAAATATCTGTTCTCAGTCATTGCAGACTTATACTCTATTGGGGAATCTAAGAAGAAGAACTTATTTCTAGCTGGGGAGGTGAGAGAAATAATTTTATGCTTTAAAGAAAGAAGGTAGGGGCACCTGGATGGCTCAGTGGGTTAAAGCCTCTGCCTTCGGCTCAGGTCATGATCCCAGGGTCCTGGGATCGAGCCCCACATTGGGCTCTCCACTCAGTGGGGAGCCTGCTTCTCTTCCTCTCTCTCTCTGCCTGCCTCTCTGCCTACTTGTGATCTCTGTCTGTAAAATAAATAAATAAAATCTTTAAAAAAAAAAGGGAGTCCATATGAAGAGGTAAAGTCAGCGTCACTGGCATGAGCAAAAGTACAGAGTTGTGAAAGAATCAGACAGATTTTCAGAATAGTGAGAAACAAGTTATTTGGGAATCGGGGGACAAGATAGATCATAAGAGGCATTTAATATATTTTTAAGGAATTTGTAAATTGCTCTGAAGGTAATAGAATCACTGAAGATTTGAGACACAAGTGAAATGATTAGAACTGTCATTTGGGATGATTACTCTGAAGACTGGTTGATAGAATGGGAGAGATATTGGAAGTGGGAAGATAGTTAGGAAGTTAAAAAATAATCCTGATAAAGTATACTGGGGACTTAAGTTACAGTCATGGCTCCCACTTCCAGAAAACATAGAGAATAGAAACATGAGGTACAATAGATTCCACTGATAAAACCATAGCAAGAGCAAGGAGGAAGAAGATGTCAAAGTTGAGTATAAGTCTAGGTGACTGGAAAGATGGTAGTGCCAATAATATAAAGAAGATCCATGACAGGGAGAAAATGAATTTGATTTTGAGTTGAGGTAGAGTCACAAAGATAATTTAAAGAGAAGTGCTCAGAGAACAATTGAAAATGTGAATCGTAGGTCAGAAGGTGGGTTGAGTCAAGAGATAAAGATTAATGAGTCATCAGCAAGGAATGGAAATTTAAGGTCAGGTGAAATTTAAAAAATGATGGGGAGTGAGGGAAGAGAACATCTAGTCAATGCTTTTAAACATATTTGCATTTGGTGTCAAGACAAAAGCTAAAACCATGGAAAGAAAGGTCAGAAAGATAAGTAATCTCTAAGGGAAGGTTTCAAAGAGGTGGTGACACAAAACAGAACTTTTGATCTTTCCCTGCTTCCTTTTCACTCTTCCCCATCTCCTCCAGTACCTTCACCTACTCAAGGCAGAAATCTGGGATCCTCTGTCTTTCCCTCATCTCCAAATATATTATTAAGTTATCCAGATTCTACTTCAAAATATATTGTGAATTAACCTGCTTCACTTCATAGCCACTGCCATCATTCTAGTCCAAGTCATTATTATTTTTAACCCAGGCTATGTGCAATAACATATTTAATGGTCTTCCTGTTTTCACTCTTATGCACCTGTGCCCCCTTAAGCACCCAACAGTCAGGGAGATCTTATATAAATGCAAATTCAATGTTACTCTCCTGCTTAAATTCTGTCTATAGGTTTTTATACAATTAATATGAAATCTCAAATCTTTAACGTGGCCTTTATGATCTTGCCTGTGCTTATCCTCTCACTCTAATTGCTTGCTACTTTCTCCTCTCTAACCACTTTCAGCCACATTTTTTGTTTTTCTTGACTATATTAAATTCGTTCTCACCTTAGAGCCTTTGCTTTGCTCTTCTGAAACATTTACTGGCCCACACTTGCCACTGATATTCAGTGTATTACTGGAAATCCTAGCCAGAACAATTAGGCAAGAAGAAGCAATAAAAGGTATCCAAACCCATCAAGTTGTGTACATTAAATATGTACAGATTTTGTAGATCAATCATACCTCAATAGAGTCAAGAGTCAACATTTTTTTTAAGAGACTTATTTGGGGGCACGTGTTTTAAGAGACTTATTTGGGGGCACGTGGGTGGCTTAATTGGTTAAGTGACCAACTCTTGATTTGGCTCAAGTCATCATCTGAGGGTTGTGCTATCTGAGCTCCATGCTGTAGGTGGAGCCTGCTTGGGATTTTCTCTTTTCCTCTCCCTCTGCCCCTCCCCTCAACTTGCTTACGCACAAGTGTGCTCTCTCTCTCTCCCCCCAAAAAAAATTTTAAAGAGACTTATCTGGATTATTTTAAGAGGGTCCAACCCCTATTCTAATCAATAGGTGTTGAAATACAGGTAAAATGAAGGAGAGGAAATTATATTTTAAAAATAAAAGAAAATTTCTCTGATTGAGAGAACAGTGAGAGTACCCATGAATAGTGCAGTGGTTGAAAAGACATTTACCAGGGCACAATAACATGGCATCTTAGAATAACATTGATAGGAAGAGTGCTCCAGCAAGTAAAAGATGTCATAAACACAGAAACGAGCAGAAGAAGGCGACTGGGCTTTTCAACCGACCTTCAAGTCTGTGGATCACAATCAGAGTAATAGCTTCAAAATTATGAAGAAAAATTATTGTCAACCTAGAATTCAATGTACAATCAATTAATCAAGTAGAAGGGTAAAAAGATTTTCAATTATATAAATTCTTGGAAAATTATACTTTTCATATGCCCTTTCTTAAGAAGTTGCTAAAAAATAAATGATAATGAAAGAGGAAGTAAGTTAAGGAAGAAGAAGAGGTCGTTATAGAGCTAACACAAAAGAGCACCACTCAGCCAGTCTAGAGGGCCATGGTCAAGACCCAAAAAGTCTTTAAAATCTTCCGAAGCAGAGGAGCCCCTAGTACATGACCTTACGTATTTTAGCACTGAGACAAAGCTAGTGATAGTAAGGGGAAACTGGTAGAGCAGTTTGAAACTTAAAAAACAAACAATTTTTAATTAAATAATTGAGAAAAATCACATACTTTTTAAGTACAGAAAATAAATTTTTATGAGAGAAAATTGAATCAAATTCTTTGGTTTTGCCATGAAAGAGTGTGTGTGTGTGTGTGTGTGTGTGTGTGAGAGAGAGAGAGAGAGAAAGAGATTGATTGCCAATTTAAATAATATTTCTATAATCATATTATTTAGTAGAATTAGATAAACAAAACCTAAAATTTGAAAATGATTTGCCTCTGGGCGGATGGCAGAGAAAGCCAGAGCTGGAGACCATTACTTACTATTGAAAGGCTTTCAACATTATTTGTTTGTTAACGTAACGTTTCCTGAATCTAAGATGAATTCAACTCTAAGAAGAAACATGTTTTTTATGTATCACTGAGAAAGGAAAAAAGAGTTGCCAATCCATTACAATATGTAACCCAATTTCAGAGATGAATTTCTACATACATATACTGTTGCTGTTGAGCGAGTTATGCTCCTTTAATATGTTGAAGTCTTAACTCCCAATGTGACTATTTGAAGAGAGAGGTTTTAGAGAGATACTTAAGGTTAAAAGAGGGCAGAAGGGTGAGGCCCTAATCCAATAGGGCTAGTGTTCTTAGAAGAAGAGGAAAAGACACCAGGTTTGTGCACGCACAGAGGAAAAGCCATGAGGGGACCTAGGAAAAAGATGGCCGTCTGCAAGCCAAGAAGAAAAGCCTTAGGAAAAACCTAGTCTTCCCACACCTTGACCTTGAGCTTATATCACCCAA